CCATTTTCTGAGATGAATTGTTCGAGTTCCGTATTTCACGCGTTACTTAGTGTGCATTCAGAATTTCGCAGACAACGTTTTATTTAGTGTCAATTGCCAAAACTGAAGGTCTGTTTTTTAAGATTGCTAAAATAAAAACATGTCGGCGAATAGAAAGAAGATACATCTCCTGATCTTGGTTGAAGGTTGGTGGTCTATCCATGCACCTCCACTGCTGGTATCAATTTTAGATATCTCATCATAATTTACATCGATTTACAACGTTCCCGTTCTCTCTCGTGTGCAATAATTAATTTTTCCTTATACTCTCGGAGCAACAAAAGTTCATTAATATTTATAAATGTCACGATTCAAACTGAAACGAGAGGTTTTGATTGGCCGATTGAATAACATTGGAACGTTTTCAAATGACGTCGTTGCGCAATGTGTCATTAATTGGTTGGTTTGATTCAACTACCGTTGAAATTTATAAATATTTATAAACAATGCTTGTTTGCACCAAGAGTATTTTAACTAGACAAGTCGATGGGTAAGTGTCAATCAAGACATATACAATGAACGTATTTTAATATTATATTACAACAGACAAGCACTATATTATCGTTTCCAATTAAGTTATATGTTATAAAAAGTGTATAAATATTGATAATAAATTATCGCTTGTGTTCCTGCGTACAATAGCAAACACCATTAAGAACAGTATAATTTACAAGAACGGCAACTATAAACACGAGGGACAAAGACTAAAAACTGTGTCTAAGGGCCCGCACCGTAAAAAGGACTAACTACGATAATTGCAATCACCAAAATCTTCCATTTAAATTATTTGTTGTTAGTTTGGATAATTTTTAAAACAATTTGCTTTAACGTTTTTGTCACGCTTTTCATATTTTCAAAATCATGTAACAGAGAGTCAAAGTAAGATTTTTAGAGCCTAATGAACACACATTGAGTAAAGATGTTATATATAAAATATATTACAGATAGACCTTTTCTCCTTTTCACCTATTTGCATAGGTTAAAAGGTATGCCATATAACCATATGTTAGCTCCTTTGAAAGCAAAGACTCTATTTTATTTCACTGTTACATGGATTACAAAATGTGAAAAATAAATTGTCAAAAGTGATTTACAACAGTGTCGTTTGTGTTCATTATTGTATTCAACGTTGTCACCAAGATATATACTCTTGCCTTGTGTGCACAATGTATACAGCAAAATGCCCAGTACCCGCGGTCATGTTTACAGCGTTATTGTATTTAGTCGTAACTAAGTTGTAAATATCACAACCAAGTGTGCCGAGTGACTGAAATAATTATATTAGTTAAGCATTGTGAGCGTTAGCAAGAACTTCTTAGTCGAAGTACGGGTTTATATAGTGCCGCCTATTTGTACTAATATTTTACATGACTAAATTAAACAGTATTCGTAGTTAATAATTCCCGACCAATTTGTGATTTCGGAACTGGAACACTGGACTGCCAGTTAATATGGCCGCAAGCAGGCGTCCTGATGGTGACTCGTAGCCGTCGGGGTTTTGTGATTAATTTACATGGACCGCTGAGTTTTTAATATAGAGTGAAATATAAACCAATATATTATGAATGACACGTCGATAATATTCAAATTGTAGAATATTCATTCAGCACTTCGTTGTAGAATAAAACATAATTATTATTCACTGATTTCTACGGACTCTGTTTTCATTGATGTCTGGGTAGAATAAACGCGGATAATAGAGAATAGTATATTTGGTTGAACAGAGTAAAACACCGGACACCTTGAGTTGTGAGTTTAGCAAGTAAGAAATAAATGAGGCTCTTCTGGTCGTCTATCTGTTCGTCCCGTATAATTGGCTGACGGGTAGACTGGCTAATTTGTGTGCGTGTGTGTGTTTTTAATTCTTTTCCTCCCTCTTACCACTACATCTTGGTCCGACGCGAAATTCGCTTGAACGTCTGTAGTTTTACAGATTTGTTTTAAATGCATTATTATCATATACGATACAAAACAATAATATTTTCAATGCTGGGCCAGCCTAGTTCTCGGGCTGTGTACGTGTTCCATTTTGTGCGGTATTCTTTAAAATCATGCAAGTACCAAGCCGAAATTACATTCGTCTTACCAAATGAGTAAACACGAGGTGATATGTCATGTAATGTAGCGTTTATTAAAGGATTGAAAATAACATGTAAATTGCTGGAATTGTCTTGAATAGTTTTAACTATCGTCATACAACTTGACATCAATACACTTGGCATGTTTACATGATTGTTTTATTATGTTTATTCAGGGACAGTTGACGGTTAAACACCAGTATTCTTAATAGATACACGCGTAAACTGCACATATAATTTCCCCACAGAAATAATACCTGTGACACATTCAGTAGGCGAGACTGCGTATTCCTTCGCCCAACCCCCGGCAGGTAAAATTTTTATATACAACATACATATATTTCATGTTTTAATTCAAACACGCCGAATAATGGTCATTTCAATGCATACAAATCCAACATTTCTGCCATTTCTAACATTTCACGTATCTACCATCGTACCACCAACAATAACTGTAACTCTATGTAGTCTACTATCACACTAACCACACCAACTTCAGTTAATACATTCAAACAGTTAACGTTGCGTGAAA